TTAATCCCAGGGAGTGGTGGTAGAAAGCAGAAAGATATATAAGGCGTGAGGACCAGAAACTAGAAGCATTTGGCTGGTTAAGCTTTTAGGTTTCAAGCAGCAGTTCAGCTGAGAGCCATTGGGATGAGGCTACAGAAGCTTCCAGTCTGAGGAAACAAGACCAGCTGAGAAGTTGGCCAGGTGAGGTTAGCTGTGGCTTGTTCTGGTTCTCTGATCTTCCAGCATTCACCCCAATACCTGGCCAGGATTTGTTTTTATTAATAAGACTCTCTAAGATTCATGCTACAAAGGTGTGTCTAAAAATTCAGAGGTAAGGCCAGGGAGACAGCTTGGTCAGTAAAGCACTTAGCTCATGGGCAAAGGACCTGGGTTCAATTTCTAGGGTCTACACAAAAAAGTCAGGCTTTGGTGGACCATGCTGTAATCCATGGGTAAGTAGAGTCAGGATTGGAAAGCTGTAGGTCCCATTGAAAGACATGCGTGCGCGTGCAAAGGGGCACCACCTGAGGTTAACATCTGGCCTCCACATGCACTTACGTGTGCACATGCACTATCCTCACATCTGTACACACAGGTCAGAGCTAAATCCTAGTTCAGATGCCACAGAATCAAAGCCGCCTCGGGTTGAAACTCGGGAAGCTGGTTTACTGCAGAGTTCTGGAGTCCACAGACAATCTGCTCAAAACTGAACTTAGGGTCAGGGACACAGCTCGGCTGGCAGAGGATTCAATGCCCAACACTCCAAGAAACTTGGCCATGGTGGTGAATACCAGTTACCTCAGCGCCTGGGAGGCGGAGGTCAAGGTCATCTTCAGGCATTTACTGGGTTTTAAGGCCAACCTGTCGTTGTATTTAAAAAAAAAAAAAATGGACAAGGAGATCTGTTTACTCTAAGCAGAGGCCCTAAGTAGGTGTTGACTGCCTCTGCCTTTAGGTACAATAGAATGTGAAATATAAGGTATGCTGCACACAGTCTAAACTCAAAAGCATTTATTCAGTTAAAATCCACGTGCACAAAGATAAACACGACTTAAGTATACTTAAGTATGTGCACTTCAGTGTACCCCAAAAAGATTATATCCTGGCGCGGAGGCTGCTAAATGGCTCAGCAGTTAGAGCGCTTGCTCTTCCAGAACCTGAGTTCGGTTCCCGGCACTCACAACAAGCGGCTCACAAACCACCTTAGCTCAAGGGGATCTGATACCCTCCGCTGGCTTCCACAGCCATGTGCACATACGTGGCACACAAACAGACACGCATTTAAAGACGGCCCATTTTTATAGATCTTCACTCTGGGGCTCCTCCCCACATTTGCTGGCAAAAAGCAATTATGATCGCATTTAAAAACATAAAAGCAAATCCACGACATGTTCCAACATTCCAGGTACCCTTCTCATTGATCGATGTGGAGCGTACAAAGGCAGACAATTACAGGAGCCCTAACTGTGAGGAGCAAAAGGCACATTTTTATGCACACATACCAATGTGATTACATATGGCTGGGCCTGGTGGTGGGACAGGACCACAGTACCAGATACGCAGGAGGCAGAGGCAATCCTTTCAAGTTCAAGGGCATGACGAATTATATGATAAGGGCTATAAGGAATACTAACTTCAAACTAATTTTTTGTTTTGTTTTGTTTTTGTTTTTCAAGACAGGGTTTCTCTGTGTAACTGCTCTAGCTATCCTGGAACACAATCTGTAGACCGGGCTGGTCTCAGACTCACAGAGACCTGCCTGCCTCTACCTCCCGAGTGCTGGGATTAAAGGTGTGCTCACACTAATGGCCTTATTAGTGAAAATATAATTAATCTGAGCACAGAGACACACACCTATAAATAGCACTGAGAGGCAGACAATCAGGAGAATGTCCTCAAGTTCAAAATATACTGAACTATTATACTATTCGGAAGCTTCAGGCTAAGGCTACACAGAGAGACTTTGGTGAGGCAGACATACTACTTTCCTGGAATTGTACCATTTATGTTTTCTCCTAAACCTACAAGGAAGGAAAACTGACTGTAACCACACAATACTGATACCCGTCAACTAACGGGAAAGAACATCAACCCAAACGCTCTATAAAAATAAAACTGGACTACATCTTGCCTTCACCTGCTACCCAACACACATTTATGCCTTCCTAATCCTGACATGGGTGATCTCGTGATACGGCTTTATTAGCTCTTAGAACCTTCATGTGACTAAAACCTAACTGTCTTCTTATAGTTGAGAGGACAGGAGCACAGAAAGATTAAATGCCTTTGTGAGGGTCACTAGACTTGACACAGCTGTCAGAACCAGAACTGACAGATACCTTGCGATGTACAGCCAAGGCCACCACCACCCTCACACTCCACAGACCTGGTTCCTCGCTCTTTCCCCCAGCATGAATGAAGCATGCATGATTAGCCCACATAGCAGTCGGGTGCCATCTAAGTGAAGCGATAGCACCTTTCTCATGTCCTTCACAATGGGGCCAAGATTTCCTAACCACTGCGACTGCCTCCAACTTCTTGGATTGACCGACCGCTCTGTTGGGCAGGGACCACAGCTTCCTTCTTTCCCAGGATGGAGTGCACTGGGCCCCCATTTCAGTTCAACAGGTAGTGATTGAGAACTGAGCGCAAGTAAATGTTTGCTGTGTCATCCAATCAGAGAACACACTTCCTTTAGGGATGACAAAGAACACTTTCCAGGCTCATCTTGTGAGAGCGTTGACAAAAAGCAGCATTCTCGTCCCTCTGGGCTTTTCCCACCTCCCGATTCTCAGCCCACTGCATCTCCACCTGACACGGAGTTAAAGGGATCAACGCTGTACGGTGTAATGGGACCGACCTGTCCACATCCACTCAGGCATTGCTAGTCTGTGATGGGGCTCTCAGAAACCAGTGACAGGGGAGGACATGGAAAATGACAGTTCCCAGAGGGACGCTGACGGATGACAAGGTCAGCTGAGTTACAGTGGAGGGCTGTTTGTCAGGGCCTCTGTCGTAAAACGGAGCTATATAAAGAGAAAGCACGCTAACTTTAATTTTCCCAAGAAAACACTATTATCTGATTTTTCAAAAAATAGCCTTTTGGTTGATTTGGAGGGATAGGGATGCCTTTTTTTTTTCCGGTAAGGGAGGGGGGCTGAAACCCACTATATAGCTTAGGCTGGCCCCAAACTTGTGGCAATTCTCCTGCCTCATCTCACCAGCACCCCCACACTGCCCCGGGCCTGTGCTGGGAATTACAGGTGTGAGGTACCACACCCAGCTTCCAGTCTGTGTTGCCAGGAGCGGCCGCAGCAGTTTTGACTGTCCCTTAGAGTTCTGCTCTATTCGAATGGAAAGGAAATGTGTAGTGTGGCCAGGCAGCCGAGCTCTGCTGACATGCGCTCCTGGAACTTCAGGACCCAGAGGATGGCTAGTGCGCCCCCCTGCAGCTTCCCACCAGCCTTGGTGAGCAGGCTATCTGGTCCCTAGCTACCAGCTCCATGGGTCTGAGTTCTCAGTAGACATGAAAGGCTGGAGCTTGGTTTGTCACTAGGGTGACACTTCCTGTTTGAATGAATCATTTCCAGTGACGCTGAGATCCAAGGCAGGCATATTTCTTTTGCACACAAAAACCAAGGCACTCTAAAAGTATTCTTTGTAAGTGCCCTACGGAAGAAACTTCCAGACACAAAGATGGATGTCAATGTTTCCAGAATTCAGACAGCAAAATTTAAAATTTCAACTTACTCATCCACTTAACTAACTAACTAACTGTGTCACAAAGCACTGGTCTAAATGGTCAAGATGAGTATATGAGATGTCCTTACAACCTTCTGTAATACAACTATTCCATGGAGATGAAGTTCTATTTACATTTCTTCCCTAAATATTCAAGTTACTTAGGATATGAAAAAGTAAAATAATTTTTCCCCCTGTTATGACTTTCTTTTCTGGTTCCATAAAAAGCGTTGTGTTTGGCAGTGGGAGGGGATGAATCCATTATCTACTGTTTCCACGGTCAGTACCAGCTTTCTCAAGTTCACTGGGCTCCAAGTAATTAGCATCCAGGAGGATCTGATTGATTTTGATGTGCACATGGCACAGGCGAGCAGAGCCCACGTGCCTTCTCACGGCACTGAGAAGGGCATCTCCAGGGAAGTACACAAGGGGATCAGAACTGCCTGCTTTGGAAAGATCAAGAACCACGAGACAGAACATTCCAGATGACTGTGCGTAACCTGGACTTCTTTGAGTGCCCTGCCATGTTAATCACGTATGGCTCTGTAATGAAAGGAAAGATTAAAAGTCCATCTCATGCCTCACTTCTGCCACGGACGGAGCTTCAGAAAGAAAATGAAGCCAGCCTTTTCAAGTTATTCACTCAAAGGCAGAAGTCATAGTCTGCACCGTTAAGGGCATAAGCTCGTTCATGTGGGGTACGAATCTTGTTCAACAATTAGCCAGTGTCCTTACATAAATAATTCAAAACAGGAAACCTAAATGTCTCTAAAACTCGACTGATCTCAGAGTGCTAAGCTCTGATTGCTCTGGATCTACAAATTTTCTCTGTGTTCATTACTTTCCTGAAGGTCTCAAAACAGGACGCCTTGCTCCTGCACATCTGCTTCTTTGACTTTTAATATTTTTCTGAAGCCAAAGAACGGATGTCCTTCAGCAGAGTAAAGCGGACGCTGAGAACCAGCTGCTCTTCCCCAGGATGGGGGCAGGGAGGGCCGTAGGGACACACTCGCAGTGGCCGATGGCATGTCAAGGAAACCCAGAAAAGGAAAGTCTATCTGGAAGGCGCAGTTCTGTTCAAGCTGAACCATTTTTTTTTTTTTACAATGGCCAATCAACAGTGTCGTCCTCAAAACTTAGGTAGAAGAACAGGCTGTTTTGTCACCAGAATGGAAACCGAGAACCGCTAGCTTGCCATCCCACAGTGTTATCTCACGAGCAGCTTGCAACCATTCTTTGCCGGGGTTGTGGTTTCCAAAAGGCAAAGCAGATCAACTTACATGGCTCTCTGGCAATGAACTGAGGTACGGTGTTGGGCAAAGGAGCACTGGGGTTGGGAGTCCCTACGAGTTTGTTCTTGGCCATCTTCGTGTTCGCCTTGGCAAATTCTAGTCGTAGTGTCTGCGGGATTTCCGGATCGAAGCGGATGCCCTTTGGGAAGAAGAACAAATGGAAGATGTAAACCAGCATGGTAACAAAATCAGCATACATGTAAACCCCGGCAAGGCTCTCTTGGATTTACACACGACATGGAAAACCCACAGTACAGCGTGGCCAGAAAGCCGGGCAAACTTAGCTCGCGCCGCCGGAATCTTCAGTTACATGGATGTGCAAACATCCCTGTTCTTCCTGGACACTGTCCAGGGCGCCCTTTCAAATGCAGACCAGCAAATTCGTAATACAGCTTAAAAACTTTGACTGGTGGCTGCTACTGGGACCGGAAAATAAGGCTTCAACCCCGAGAAGGACATGCTGGGCAGCAGTGGAGTCTGACACCTGAAATCCTGAGCGGGCTGCACTCTGCATGATACTGTAAACAATCAAATTCTTCAGTGCTTTTAGTGTCCTTACCTATAAATAGAGGGAAAGAACTCTGTCTCCAATTCAGTTTTACAAAGGTAATACAAGTCCCTGCATACTCAGAACCCAGGAATTAGACAGCTGCAGGACTTTAAATGTAACTATTATCATTTAATCCCAGTTATTGCATGAATTCGCTAGGCTTGAAGTGGTGAAACCCTGATTTCTTCTATGGTTGGTTTACAAGGTATGAGGAAACAAAAGACTCCCCATCATTGCCTTGCAGTTGACCTTTCAGAAAAAAATCATGTTTCAGCCCGAGCGAGGTGGCGCTCGCCTTTAATCCCAGCACTCAAGAAGCAAAGGCAGGTAATCTCTGAGGCCAGCCTGGGCTACAGAGTGAGTTCCAGGACAACCAGAGCTCCACAGAGAAACCCTACCCTGAAAAAGCAACAATAAAAAATCATGTTTCACTAAAGCAGATTCCAGGCACTCTAAACTACAAGATTTATGTCAAGTAGATTTCAGGACCTTCTCAGTCAAGTATGTCTCCATTACCAAGCAAAACTAAGAGTCTAATGAAAACCATTCAAGGCCAGGAATTCTAGACACGACCATCTGTGTCAAAAAGGCACCCTGGATTCAGACCTCACATTTGTCTCAGTCCTAAAAATGGAGTATGCCAGGAACACAAGCTTTTCATTTCCGTGGGCCTGATGGTCTCTCACATCCCTTCTTTTCTTTTAATACCTGATCTTTGGAGAACTTCATCTATGAGTACTATATATACATCATCCCCTGAACCACTTTCCACCTTCCTTCACTGTGAGGAGAGTTAGGGCTGTTTCTACAAGAAATTAGTAAGAATCTCTGTAGACAAGAATGAAGGACTCTGAACTTCATTCACAGGTTCAGTTCCAAAGACACAGGGAACAGTGGCTGATGGGAACAGGAATGAGGACTAGGCAGCCTCAGGCAAACAACAGAGTCGCGATCCAGAGATACCCCGGAGGGAGAAGAATTTATTCCTGACTTAGTTATTTTGGGGAAGAAAACCATTAAGGCTAGAACACAGGGAGAGGTAGGGAGGATTGCAGTTGTATCATCTAACCAACAAAAGAGAAAAAGGGAAGTATCAGTTTTGTGAAGTAACAAAACAAAACAAAAACACAAACCAAAGAGAACTTCCGGGTCCTTACTTAGGAAAACCTCTGTATTGTATTACCAGAACATACGCAAGGAAACGAATCTGAAGCTGCGTTTGCCTCCATCCCACCAACCACAACTGAGACATACTCTATCCTATCAGAACTATTATCACCGGTTCACATCAGTAATTTTAGCACTTGGGAGGAAGCTGAGGCTAGAGGATTATTAGCATGAGTTCAAGGATAGCCTGGGCTACAGAGTGAGAGCCTATCTTTAAGGAAAACAAAAACAAAAACACAAAAGAGGCGGGTGACAGTGGTGGCGCACGCCTTTAATCCCAGCACTCGGGAGGCAGAGGCAGGCGGATCTCTGTGAGTTTGAGGCCAGCCTGGGCTACAGAGGGAGTCCCAGGACAGGCACCAAAGCTACACAGAGAAACCCTGTCTCAAAACAAAACAAAACAAAACAAAAACAGTATAGTTACCCTCGCAACAAATTCCCAGATAAGTGTCTTTGCTGAGAGGCAACTGTGTTCCTCTGGAGGCCCACACCAAAGCATGGCAGACATGCAGCAGCAGCAGCAGCAGCAGCAGCAGCAGCAGCAGCAGTACACACTTCAGGGAGTCCTCTCCAACACTAACCTCCGCCAACCTTCTTTGGAAGCATCTTTTTTAATCCCAAGCCTACAACAACCTGAAGGCCTGATAACAGCCTCCTGGGTCCTGTCAACAGTCCGCTGGAGCGTTTAACCTGAGATCACGGGGATGAACCTCTGAATTCTATGCTTTAGCTCACTTACTCACATTCTACAATTCCCCAAGACCATCAACGTGCTCGCCTCTTGCACAACCAACCTGAAACATGCTGGACCGAGGCTCCCTCCTCCCTGCCCTCTTCTCATACCCCTCTCTTGTTTGAGCTAAAATAACATCAACATCATGTTCCAAATCAAAGTTCCAGCATCTTATTAACAAAAACAAAACAAAGCAAAAAAGCTCAGAAGTTAAAATGACCTAATTTGTTTGGCAGCTTATTGGGAGGCCAGAGGCTCAGCATACAAGCCCCATTCCGCCAGCATCTTTAGCAGCAATACCATATTTGGTAATCAATATCCTGCTCCGCTAGGTTTCTATCCATAGGGATTAGCCAAGTCCCAAACATTTTAAATGGTACAGGATGATGCGCTGGGGGAGGGAAAAAAGAAGATAGACTATGCCATGGGGGGGGGGGATACCTTGTGCTTTTAATTAAAGCCTAGTAAGAACCCTCTCTGGCTACAGTAATGTGGTATTAAATGCTGTCAGGGTGAACGCACACCCAAGTGAAGCAGGGACTCAAAATCAGCCTCTGGCCCCCCAGTTAACAATTTATCACAACACTATTATGATGCAAAGAACCTTTCTCTTCAAAGAACAAATGGCAGCGAGGTTACATGGACCAGAAGAAGATACACTCTAGACATCAGTATTAATGTGGGGATAAAGACACTGTTATTCACAAGCCACCCAACCCAGCTGCTACAGGGGCAGGCCAACAGTCTCCAGCAATTCAGACTGGGTATGACCTGGAGGCGGAACAGGGCAGCCTGTGTGAGATGATACAAGGTTACAGACAACTGTGGATCCTTGGTAGTCTACGGCATATCAGAGAACACAAGGGCAGTTTCGTGAAAGGCTAAGTGCCTGGGAGTGGGGGGGGGAAGTATGGTGAGAGATGAAAGAGCAGAGGGAGTGGGCAGAAGCAAAGGCGAGATCACGCAGGGGCTGTGCAGGCAGGGGGGCTCTGCGGTCCACGGGTGACTGAGGTCCTCACACTGGGATGCACTCAGGATCCAGTCCGGGACTTGCTTTGTTTGCGACGCGGGGCCACTGCAGCATTTCTGGTCTGGGACTGGAAACTGACACATCCAACAGACTGTTTTGTAACATTGTTGCTGCCCGTGCAGTGATCACGTGACTCATGGCCATCATGGTCTTTTTACTGTGGCAAGGAAGACACTCTCCAAGGGCATCCACGACAGACCAGGTAGGAAGTAATCAGGGCAGCTGGTCGGGAAGGCAACCCAACTGGTCCTCCTCTAGACTGGGCACTGGGGAACCATTGTCTGGGCACTGTGCCCTTGCTTTTCCGACCATAGCAAATTACTGAAGGTCCGGACAGACGCTCCCCTAAGTGACCGAATAATCTTTCTCTCTCTTGGGACTGAAACCTTGAGACACAAACATGAAGGTGGCCAGAGCAGTCACCTCGCCTCTCATGGAGAGTAGTGTCCATTAGAGGTTCTCACGGCACGCTAATGCCTGGGAGAGTGCTTCAAGTCTGTGTCTACCAGCCAGCCCAAGCTACACAGTGAGGAGTTCCCCAGTTAAGTGGTCTATCAGTCCTCAGCAGTGAGTTTTTGGAATAGCAGAATCATTTACAGAAAGAAAGAAAGGAAAAGAAAAAAAAAAAAAAACAGTAAAGAACGAGGCAGTAGTGATATATACACACCTAAAAGATGGCCATGGGTTATATTAAGCTTTTGTTGTAAGAAAAGAGACACAGACTGGGTTATTTGAATTCTTACATACATTAATTTATAGTTATGATTGATAAATTTATAAAACTCAACACAGTTATTTTCAGAAAAAGAGTCAAGGCTGGTGTGATGCCCATGAATCACGTGATCAGTAAGATGGCTGGCTGCCAATTCTGATATCCTGAGTTGGATCCCAAACACACATGGTGGAGACAGAGTTTTCTCCTCTACTTCCACGAGCTGTCCTCTGACATACTTGCTGTAGCAAGCACAAAAATGAATAAATTCTTTTTTAAAAGGTGTTTGCCATCTAAGAGTGATGACCTAAGTTCCATCTCGGGAACAAAACTCACTCTGCAAAGTAGTTCTCTGGTCACACGTGTCATGGCCTGCCCGCCTGCCTTCCTCCCTACCCATCTTTTAAAAATTACCCAATTTAGACAACAGGTACGTGGTACCAAGAATTCCCGCTACTGCACACGGGTCCCTGAAACGCCAGCGTTATTAGCACACATACTTCATCTTCCTACCACTCTTCTGACTCTATACATAGCTTGTACCACTATTTTAAGTTTTTATGAGTAATGTATAATGTTACTGCAGCTTGACTTCCTAAAAAGAAGGACCGTTCTGTGTTTTCTGACCCAAGATCTAATCAAGAATCATACAGAGCACGTACCTGTCACCTTGACCTTTTCAGGGTACTGGCCCTTTGTTTTTAGACTTTCTCATTTTACGTGTGTGTGTGTGTGTGTGTGTGTGTGTGTGTGTGTGTGTGTGTGTGTGTGTTTGTTTGTGTGGTTTCTGGTTTACATTCAGTATTATTTCAGTAGGCACACGATGTCATTTTGGACTCTCCATTAGTGACAGGAGCTGGGATCACTTGCCACATTTCCTGAATGTAAGGTTTCCAATGTTTTGTTTCTGAGTTTGTTTAAGGACAATGAGAGGCGCTACCTTAGCC